CTATTTGCAAAATTATATACGAGAAATAGTGCGGAACCCTAATACTCTCATAACTGAACTTGTACGTATTATCATATACCTTTATGTGTTTATATATGCTTTATCCTTATATTAATCAGTATTATCTTTCTTCTTTTGTAGTTTAATACAAAAAAATGCCTACAAACAAGAAGAAATCGACGAAGTTCGAATAGAATGAACATCATTTGTTGGACGATTTGTGTAGTACCTATGGATTCATTACTTTTGTTTATTTGATGTAAGTATTTTGTTCGGGTTACTTTCTGTAGTAGTACTTAGTAGATTTGAAATACTTTGTCTTGTTTATAATATATAGAACTTTGGATTGTTATGTTGAATGTAGTTTTGTTGGAGGGACGGGCGGTCCCATTTGTTTCTGTGTGGAAGGGTGTTAATATATAGAAGTGTTTGGTTGTTGCTGAATGTAGTATATTATTGCTTTCCAAGTTAATTTTGAGTTATTCTAAAGTAGAGAGGTCATGTTGAAATTTGTACTTGTTTGATCAACTCTTAAATAATTGTGTTTTGAGTTTAAGGTTAGTTTTTGAGTTAAGTTTTAGAATAGATCATGATGTTGAAATTAGTTTTAGTTGCATATTATGTTTTCAGTTTCAATAATATTGAGATATTATTTTGTGTCAATAAGTTGGAAGGAGATATATTGGTTGGTCAGTTTTGAGTTCTATTTTAAACTGGGGAGGTCATGTTGAAATTTATACTTTTTTTTATTGTTTGTGTTTTGAATCTAAAGGTTAGTTTTTGAGTTAAGTTTTTCGAATAGATCATGATGTTGAAATAGTTAAGTTTTAGTTGCATATTAGTTTTTGAGTTGCAATAATATTGAGATATTGTTTGCGTGATTAGGTTGGAAGGAGATATATGGTTGGGGTTAGTATTGAGTTGGTTAGTCACGTCTCGACAACCAACTTATTTTTTAATTAAATTATTCACGAAATAATGACGGTCAATGTCTGTCATGAAATATAGTCATTCCATGATGCACGAGGCGAAGATACAATGACGCTCAAACAATGACACTCAAATGATGACGTACAAATAATGACGCACAAACGATGATGTACAAACAATGTCGCACATATAATGACGAGCAAAAACCGCCATGTAAAATTAAACGAAACAAGGACACTCATAAAGATGTCGGTCACCGCCTGTCATTGTTATCCTTCCATGACGGGCATGTCCGTCATGGAAAAGAAGATTTACATGGCGGGCAATGCCCGACATTAAAACTGTCCATCATTGAAAGGAAACAAGGACACTCATATAGATGTCGGTCACTGACCGACATGGTTACTCGTTAATGACGGGCAATGCCCGTCATGTAAAGCCGAATTTGTTGTAGTGGGGATAGATTTCATTCTTTTCATATGGGTTTTTGACATAAAAGCAATTGTCATATAAACTTCGAATAAAGCCAAATTTTATGATAAACTCGTGAAACCTTTTATACCAGCATCTAGGGAATTGTTTAATCTACAGAGATTTTTTAAGCAAGCATATCTGGTTCTCCTTCTCTTTCAGTTGATACCCTTTTGGTTGTTTTAAGTATTTTTTTAATGACAGCCTCAATTTCCTCTGGACCATAGGGAGATCTAAAAGGTGAGACTTCATCTCCGGAGATACACTTGGTTGAATGTGGCTTATAATGACTTCAAGACCTGAAGTTGAAGGATTAAAAGGAGTGAAAATAGATTGAAAATAGGTAATGAAATTATTTTCCATTGCCTCCAAGTCTTCGATCCAGTAACCATTATTATTTTCGATGCCCCAACTAGTGTTACATGTTCTCCTCATAGAATCCTTTTTGTGAAACCACTTAGTATTGCAATCTCCCCATTTGAGTCAATCTTTCGGGAATGTTGTTTTCAATAGATTCCATCCAACATGAAAAGGCCAGTGAGATCATCCTCCAACAAATGAATAAGAGTGAAATCAAGGGGTAGAGATTGTAAGCATTTTCAATGGCTGTTTTTTGTATTTTGATCTGCTTAAATAGCTCTTAGGGGTTTGAATGGCCTCATTGGCGAAGGGTTGAGGAGGAGACATGAATACTGTCCGAGAAAGAGAAAGAGGTCGCTGGGACAGACCAATGGTCATCCCTTTATATAATCTGCTCACAATCTAAATTTGACAAGCATTCCTCAAACCAAAAGGGTTTTAAAATACTCATGTCGCGGGCTCTGGAGGAAGCATAGAGATGCAAAGCAATAACACGGTGATCAAACTTGAACCATTGGAGATGAGAAATGTTTGCATCTAGATAGAATAGAAAGAATCATTACACAGAAATCGGTTTAGATGCTTCCAAAGTTGGGCAGCTATGAAGCGGTTGTTACATATTGTGCGTCCACGACTGATGTGAATGCAAGTGCAAGTATACACTATTCTAATCGATTGTAGTATAAATAAGGTCGAAATCCACAGGGACTAAGGATATTACTCTATGCGTGCACTTAAGAATAAATTAAATGCAAATAAAAGATAATCAATGTTGTATAACTAGAACTAAGTAAAATACTATAAAATGTAGAAAGAAATTCCAAGAAAGAAAGTACTGTAAATCAAAGATTCTGAGGCGAAGAAATGCTTTGACAAAACTAACAGAAAGGGGAAACAAATGAGATGAAAATGAGAGAGATCACTTTATGCTTTTACTCGCTTATAGTAGATGCTCTAGCATAAAATCGCAGCTGATGCTCAAACCGACGTGGTTCTCTTCCGACACACCAAAAATGAATATCTACAACTTCCATTGTTGAATACCCAAGCATAAAGAACAATTTAGAAGCAGGGTTAGGCGGACCTTATCCCTAAGCATCCATAAATCTTGTAGAAAATAGTAGCTAACCACAAAGAGAGCCAAACACGCTACCTATATACACTTCCGAGTCATATAAGACCAAACAAACTGATAGATGCCGCTGACAAAGATAAGTAAAATAAAAATATTATAACAACTCTATTTAATAGTAGAAAAAACATGCTAGGAAGCCTCTGTTCATAAGTTACAGCAAGGGATCCCTGAAAATGAGGTTTAGTTCATGGGGAATGGGAAAAATAAAATGGGTAAAGAAAATAAACAACCTATTTCGTGAAAAAGTGCTTTTAAACCGTCGAAACCTCCAGTTCAATGAAGAAACCAATAGTTTCAGCTTCCTATCGTCAACTTCCTCCTCAAAAATGGGTTTTGCTCTCCTTGTCTTCAGCATAGAATTTGGAATAATTTCTCTCTTGGGATCTATTCCCTCTTGAGGATTGACAATGAGACAACTCTCATCTTGTTGCTTTTATAACTCCCTAAAGATTGGAGTAAACTCGATAAAACGCGCGTGGTTCGAACTTCAATAAAAATTTTGTGTAAAACTTGTTATTGCGCTGCCCAGAAATTTATACAGCAAACGATGCTCCAGCATCAAGACTCTAGCATCTAAAACACCTAACAATTCCTTCTGTTTCTATAGCTCTACTTCCAATACTTCCAGATTCTGCAACAAAAAAAAAAAAAAAACAATGGAGATGAGCTCAGACTTCTCCAAAATTAACAATGCAAGGAATTTATATTTGAGTTTACTATTTATCACTTAATTCCTCATTTTGATGAGCTTATATAGCTAGAATTCTCTCATGAGTTTTCATTATAAAACATATCCATGGAAATTGAGCGTGAGTTTCAATTTATTAGTGAAACGCTCATTACATTTGGTTTCCATAAGAAAAAGAACAAGAAGGTTTTCGTGATACAAGAAATCACTTAGGACACGGAATGTTCGAGGATCCCCAATCCTAGAACATTCCAACATATTATTTTCATAGCGTTCGAAGAGACCTTTCTACAATTAGGGGTCTTAGGCGATCGCCTTACTCGACTATAGCTTAAGTCGGCGCTAAACAGAATCTCATAAAAATGTCTTAACAAATAAAGTTAGCATTACATCGATTTGAATATTTTCCTACTATGAGATGAGATATGACACTTCCAAAACTAAGAAAAATAATCCTCTCTAAAATAGGGGAAAAAATTATTCTGATATAAATAAATAAATAATATTATTTTTTAATTAATAAATTGTTTTAGAATTTGAGCATCTCGTGGGCATGCCGGAGTGGTTATTTGAATCTTGCCGCTCACGTTTTTATTTTAATTAAGAGGTTGTGAGTTCGATCTCATAGGGTTGTACTAAAATAATAATAATAATATCCTTATGTATATTGAATCTAATTGAGTTAATTAAATTTCTCATTAAATTTACAATACTATACTTCTAAAATAATTCATCAATAATAATTTTGCCTTATGTATATTTGAATATAGTTGAGTACGAGCTTATTTTAATATAATGTTGATTGAGCCATCTGAACACGTTTTTCAAATTATTTGATAGAAAATGATAAAATGACCTTACAAGGTGAACACTTTTTTAACCTTAAAATTACTGTTCACAAATTTTATTTTTTCAATAAATTTAGATGTCTAACACATTCCGATGCTTAGAAAAATAATGGTGTTCAAAAAACTCGATAGCTTGAAAAAATCGATCAATTCAAGGGAAATAATAGGTGTCAATTATAGCTGATTTATGCCCATGTTGGCACCAACTTACTAAATACCATGTCATGTGATGTAAGCTTTTCATCAATCAAAATTTTAATATTTATAATGAATAGAGGTATAATTAAAATATTAAAATACAAGAAATTAAATTGAAAATTTTTAACCATAGTCAACACCAAAACTATATTCATTCACCGGTTTGTAGCAGTTGTCTTCTTTTTCACTTTGAAGCACAGCAGAGGGGAAAATAACTTCATTTATTTTTTCTTAATTAACAATTAGAAAATTCCCTCTCAAAATGGATTTAGGCCTCGGATTATAGGAGGCCTAAGACTAATGTTTCTACAAGGAGCCTTGATATAAGAAATATCCAAAATTTATTTGTATGGCTTTTCTTAGTAAAACAAATATAATAATGCAAAGATGAAGATTTAAATCTTCTTATTTCGAAAGAACAATTAAATGGGTTTAATTGCTATTTAACTGCTGGGATATGTTTATATTAGCTTATTTTAATTAGTTTTGAGATACAAAATAATTATGTACTAAATTAATTTGATAATTTGAAACCATCCATTTATCATTTTTAATAGATAATATTTATTACTAATGGAGTTATCAGTTAAAGATCTTTCTCTGTGATTGTTGTACTAGAAGAAGAGAAAAAAAAATCTGAAAAAAAAAATACTCTCTCTTATATTATTAGCCTCAACTACAATTTAATTTTGAAATTTTTTTTCAACCATTATTAATTTTAATAGTATTTTGTTGGTAATATATACATATTATTGTTATAAAGTAGAAAGACTTTCAAAAGTTAAATCTAGAGTAAGTTTGTTTTAGCAAAAGT